GCATGGATTTTGTGCTTGGATTACCTAGGACTCAAAATGGAAAGGATTCGGTGTTTTATGTTGTTGATCGATTCTCAAAAATGGCACGTTTCATCCCATGCAATAAGATAGATGATGATTCACATGTTGCAAATCCTTTTTGTAGAGTAATCTTGAGGTTACATGGAGTTCCAATGACCATCGTGTTGGACCACGACGTTAAGTTCCTAAGCTATTTTTGGAAGACCCTATGCGCCAAGCTCGACATCAAGCTACTATTCTTGACGGCCTATCACCCTCAAACCAATGGCCAAATGGAAGTCACCAACCGGGCGCTATCTACTCTCCTATGCGTGTTGATCAAGAAGAACATCAAGGAGTGGGAGGAGTGCTTACCCATTGCTGAGTACGTCTACAACCACGCAAGACGCTCTACTACCGGCAAGCCCCCCTTCGAGGTCGTCTACGGCTTCAACCCGTTATCACCCTTGGACATCCTTCCTCTACCACTTCAAGAACGAGCAAACATGGACACAAGTGCAAGAGTAAGTTATCTCAAGAAGGTGCATGAAGATACAAGGTCCATAATCGAGCGTCAAGTACACCGCCTCGCCACCAAGCTCAACATCAATAAGACCGCAATGGTGTTCCAACCGGGTGATCTAGCATGGCTACATCTCCGCAAGGACCGCTTCCCCAATGAGCGTAAGTACAAGCTACTACCACGAGCTGATGGACCCGTCAAGGTGCTAGCATGATAGAATGACAACGCCTACAAGATCGACATCCCATGCGACAAGTACAATGTAAGAGACACCTTCAACGTCAAGGACTCGACCCCATACCATGGTGATGAAGATCATGATCCGAGGACGGATCTCTCCCAAGGGGAGGGGGAGATGAGCATCCTTCCATCATCCCCATGGACCCTACATCAACACATCAAGCACTAAGTGGACCTATGACAAGAGCTCGAGCACGCGCCATTGAAACCAAGGTGAACTCACTCTTACTTGAGATAGATATGGACATGAATGGAACTTGGTTGCTACCTCACCAAAATATGCTATGTGTCATTATATATGAAGACCAACGCCACCAAGCAGCTAAGGGACACCCCAAAGGATGAGGATAAGCACCCCAAGGCCACGAGGAAGAAGAAGGAGCGAAAGAAGATGAAGACTGTACCTCCCAGGCGACCCCGTGCCCACGGGCCCCCGAGACCCCGTGCGCACGGGCCACCCAGGAGGCTTCTGTAAACAAGATGCGCCACCCCGTGCGCACGGGCCCTCACCGTTGTAGCACCCCGTGCGCACGAGCGTGTACCGTGCACACGGGACCCCCGTGCGCACGGGTCTCCCAGGCTTCGCCCGTGGATGCCCTTCCTTGCCTCCCAAGTCACCCCCTTCCTCCCTCTAGCTATATATTTCGGGTCTAAGACATTTGTTAGGGTTAGCAAAGTATATGTGAGACATTGATGGACTTTGCTCCTTCTACCACTCCTCTTGGAGATCAAGGCCTCTTAGGAGAGGATCCTCAAGTGGATTTCAAGACCTCCTTTTGGAGAAGACTATCATCAAGACCTCACCTCCTTAGGAGAGGGAAGAACCTTACCTTTGTGCTTGTTTCCTTGGATTAATCTTGTAGTCTTGTGGATCTCAACTTTGCTTCTATTGGATGTGTGATTGGGTCTTTGTTTGAGCGAATTTCCTCTTTGTGTTATTGTGTTCATCCTCTTTTCCCCTCCAAGTGTGAAAAAAATCTTCACTTAGGGTTCCACCCTACAACATGGTGGCCCTAGTGGCATATTGGGGAGCATTGTTCCTCCACACCGCTCTAACGGAGATTAGCATCCACAAGGGTGTGAACTTGGGGATACATCGTCGTCTCCGCGTGCCTCAGTTATCTCTTACCCGAGCCCATTATTTGTGCCTTACTTTGTGGTAGCTTTAGTGCTTGATGTTATATATCTTACTATCACATAGTTGTTTATCTTACTTAGCATGAGCTGTTTGTGCACATAGTTGAGCCTAGTATATTTAGGTTTTGTGCTTGATTAAACACTAGTTTTATTCCACATTTGTTCAAGCCTAAACCATAATTATTTTAAAGTGCATATTCACCCCCACCCTCTAGGCAACATCCACGTTCATTCACTAGCATATGCACATCTCCACCCAGCCGAATGTTGATCACGTACTTGTGGACTCTTAAAGGAGTTGCGGCTGTGATGCTTGGAATAACCTTTCAAGAGATCCGTGAGGAGGAGACATGCTTCACCAACTCTCATTTGTGAAACATGCTACAATGGTAAGCATCTGAACATGCTTCACCAACTCTCATTTGTGAAACATGCTACAGTGGTAAGCATATGAACATGCTTCACCAACTCTCATTCCGCAAATGATGGTGAAGCATGTGGCCTATAACTGCAGCATGTTTGCTGGTTGTATGTGGTAAAAAAGAATTTGCACTAGTGTAGCCATGTAGCCCACCTCATTTCCCAATAGTGAGAACTAAATGGGTGTGTGTGTACTTGGGGTTATGTACCCTTACGGTTCTTCTCTAATACAAAGATATACAACTCTCATGTGTGTTCAAGAAGAAGAAATCTAAACATATCAATTTGTTGAACCATCAATCTTCTTTATGCTTGGTTGAAATAGTATGTCCTAAAATTTTGTTTACTTGATCACTAGCCTATTATGTTGTCACACCCTATAAAATGAGTTTGATTATCATTATTTGTAAGCAAGTTTGTTGTTTGAATGAACTAAAACATGAAGGAAATTTGCAATAATCAAACTAAAATTTTGAAATCTCTAAAATGGCGAAACAAATAACCCATTGTTGAGGATGACAAAGTAGGATATATAATTTTTCTTGGCCAAAAAAGATTATAACTTTGTTTCTAAAACTCCAAACCCTTGGTTACAAAGCAATAAATTAAATTTTGAGTCTATTAGACCACCTCTCATGTCAAAGTACTACTCCATCTGATATCAAGTAATATGGATCGAAGGGAGTAATAATAAAGATGTTTAAACCTGAAATCTAAAAAGTGCTTACGCACTATTTAGGCGAATCGAGCGGCCGGCTCTTGTCCGCATATTACGCTGACTCCCTCACTTATTGAATGCATGCATGGGCATATTTTGTCTCTTAGTGCATGTGATTGATGGCAATAACTACGATCAGACTTATACTATATGTGAATGGAAAAAACAGATCAACATGTATTTATTTCAGATTTTCAATTTTAAAAAACCCATATCTTTTAAACCACGCATCGAAATTCAGATCTGTCTTCACCATTGGATTCCTCATGATGAGATCTTTGAAACTAGATCCCGCATGGGCATGTTTCGACGAATTTTTTTCGATGCCAACTTTCGTGCTATATTGTGCTATTTTAGTACTGTATTGTGCAACTTTAGTATTACATCGTGCAACTTTTTTCAAAACCAATTTTTGAATCTGCATGATTCAATTTTCATGAGGTTGCAATGTAGCAACCATGACAACTTTGACGTGCAACTAGTCTACTATCCCGACCAACTATCAAGTAGTCGTTGTGCAACCCTCCTCCCTACTCGTGGATGCGTCGTTTTTCACTATCGGTGCACCCTACTCCCACTTCCCCTGCAAGCGATTTGTGCAACTTAGTCTATTGTTCAAGCCAACTGCCTATTAGTCAATGTGCAACTCCTTCCCCTTCCTATTTGTGGACACGTATTTTCAATTGGCGGGGATAACAAACAGAGTTGCACATACTCTGCTAGGTAGTTGGCCAGAGCAACATACGAAGTTGCACATCTCACAAGCAAGGACAGTTGGATGGTAAAAAAATGACATTCATGAGGGTTGTGAAAAATTACATATACATAGAGTGTGGAAGTTGCGAATCTCACTAGCAGGGGTGGTTTGGACTGTGTGCTAGCAGGGAAACTACACATCCATGGGGTATAGGATAAAGTTACAAATCACTGTTAGACAGTTGGCCGTGGCAGTATCCGAAGTTGCAGAACCACTAATAGAAAGTTGGCGGATGCAGTAAATAGTGAAAGCACATCCACAGGCAAGCGGAAAGTTGCACGTCAATTACTAGGCAGTTGGCCCGAGCAACGGACGAAATTGCTCATCTCACTGGAAGGGGTAGTTTGAGGGGGTGGAGGTGACATTAGTGAAAACTGCACATTCACGGGGTAGGCGGAAAGTTGCACATCCACGGTCTGCTAGTTGCACATCGACTACTAGGCAGTTGCAGAAAACGAGGTACTAAATTGCACACAAAAAAATTCATCGAAACATACTCATGCGGGATCTAGTTTTGAAGAGCACGTCGTAAGGGTTCCAACGATGAAAGCGGATCTTAATTTCGATGTTTGGTTCTAAAGTTATGGCTTTTAAAATGAAAAGGAACTCTAAATTAATGTGTTCACACCTGGTTGTTTTCCAATCCGTAATTAAAAACATGCTGCATGCCCTTTCTATCTTTTTTACAATAGGAAATAATCTTTTCTTTTTTGTTTGATGAGGATATAAACTTGCTAAAAGTGGCAGCCGCTGCGGAGCGCTAGCGAGCGTCCTGCCGCTCGCTAGACGCGTCCATGTTTAAATATATGTTCAGATTTCCAAAAAAAGCCAGAAATATGAGAAATATCATCTCGTGCGAATTTGGTTCTATGAAAAAACTAATGAAGGCATTTAAATATATTTTCAGATTTCCAAAAATAGCCAAAAACATGAGAAATATCATCTCATGCGTATTTGGTTCTATGATAAATCTACAAAAATTACCCAAGCTATATATCTTGGTATTTCAAAAATCATCTCATGCATATTTGATTCTATGAAAAGAAGAGGTGAGGCGATTCCTGGATGTGCACCACGTTGCACGGGAGCACCTATGGTGGAAGACTGAGGAGCCTCGTCTCCGGGTCCCATTATCCTCTCTCCTACCGCGAGGAGCTCCCGCTGAACGAAGACCTCCCGACCTCACTCCCACTCCCACTCCCACCATGCCGCTAATCCAATGCTCCCCGCGCGTCCTCCTCCTCCGCTGCCAACGCTTCACGCCGCACCACCCATTCCCCGCTTCCACTTTGGCCCTCCCCGTCCGCCGCTCCACCGCCCTCCGGGCCGAGCCGGAGCCCCAGCCGCAGCCGTCCACTTCCACTGCCGAGCCGCCGGGCACCTACGACGACAGCGGGGACGGCCCCGTGGAAATCCGCGCCCCGACGCTGTTCTCCGTCGACGACAACCCCACCCCGCTGCAGGTCGCCACGAGCGTCATGCTCACCGGTGCCATCTCCGTCTTCCTCTTCCGCTCCCTCCGCCGCCGCGCTCGCCGCGCCAAGGAGCTCGTAATCCTCATTCATTTCTACCTCCCACCACCGCTCTCCAGTACAATCGCACCCTACATTCCTACGCCGTTACGCTGATACTGGTGTGGGTGATTGGTGCAGAGGGTGCGGTCCGGTGGGATGAAGAAGCCCAGGAACCTGAGCGAGGAGGCCCTGGAGGCGCTGAGGATGGTGAGCACCTCGCCGGTGGAGACTAATAAACCGCCGTCGCCCGTGCAGGCGCTGCTCGGGGGAATTGCGGCCGGGGTCATCGCGCTGTTCCTGTACAAGTTCGCTAGCACCGTCGAGGCCTCGCTCAACCGGCAGACCATCTCCGACAATTTCTCGGTCAGCTCTCCACAATTGTGCTTGTTTCTTTCTGTATTTTGTACTGTATTTCTTTGTTCAAGTTCAGTGCTCGCCGAAATTTACACGAAACGCAGTTGTTTTACAATAGCAGTAAACTGAATGCCACGTATCAGTATGAATGAATTCTCAAGGGGCCTGCATACCTTAATAAAGATTAATTCTGAACATGTAAAGAAAAATTCAAATACATTTGATTGTATGAATCATGCTTTTAAGTTTTAACCCCAAAATACATAGGCATCAACCCACGCACAACCCTACACTGAATGATGTGGTGATCAAAACACATGAAAAGCAAAAATCAAGACACATTTGCCACAAGATTGTGAGGATTACCAGGGTAACATCCTGTGGTTTTTGATTCCTGGTTAGTAGTGCTGGAAAATGAATTACAGGAAAGGGCTAATTTCTCACAAAGTGAAATGCAGGGTTTACCATATGAATTATAACTAGGTCGCACGTTGTCTGATCTGATCGAATCTGTTTTTGTTTTTCTCCAGGTTCGCCAGATAACAGTAACAATAAGGTACACACAACTTCATCCATTTTCTGCTTGTTCTGTGTATTGCGTTGTTATCCTTCAGCGAGTCTAATTAAAAGAAAAATTGACTTTCCTCTGCAGAACAATTATAAATGGGCTGTGCTACCTAGCAACATTTGTGTTTGGAATCAACGGGGTGGGATTGATACTCTATTCCCTCCAGCTTACTTTTAACTCTCTCATGGACGATGACTCTAGCAGCTCATCCGTAGAGAAAATCAGCGAGCAATCCAGCACAATGGCTTCATCTAGTAGCTCCACAAGTGACAGCGTATCGGACAGTAGTGACTTGCAGCAGATCTCGGACAAGAGTAAAAACTCATCGGAGTAGCTGAGGCCATGCAATGCAGTTGCCAAAATTCAAGAGTACATACATAATAGGACAATCCTTGTGAGGAGCCATTATTCTCATCTTAGGCTCTACTGTCGTTTTTGAGTGCAAATGCTATGCTAATGAACTTTCAGTTAGGCTAGTAGTAAAATGTGGTGAAATATTTTGGATTGAACTGCAAAAATACATTTGGTAGTACAATGAATTGCCATCGGCCCAAAATTCTCGGCAGAAACTATTGTTCTACGGTTTGAATAACGTTAATTGCATTTCCTCACTGCTAGTGTCATCTTAGATACTGTTGCTGCCCTGTAATAGGTACAAATGCTGCTTGGTTTCATGCCAATATTTTGCATGCCAATAATTGGCAAGACGACATTTGACAAACCAAAAGTTGGCAACTGTCTTAGAGATTGGCAACAAAAATTAGTAGCCAATCAATTGGTTGCCAATTTTTGAACTTGCCAATACATTGGCATCAAACCGATAACCTCAGCAATGTCTAAGGGCAAGTGCTTTTTGGTTGCATCTGCACAAACAGTTTCTTCAGAGCTATCCAAAAGAAACTGTAGTGAAAATAAGCTCTAGAGAATCTCTAGTGTATAAGGCCGTGTTTGTTTGGGCTTTTGCTTCTTCTTTTGCAGCTTTTCTACTTTGGCCAGAAAGCCATAAAAGCTCCTAAATAGGTGCTGCTCCAGAAGCACCTATTTAGGAGGTTTTATGGCTTTTGGAGCCAAATATTGTTATATTGATTTATCAAAAGCCATAAAGGCTGCAAAAGCACCTATTTAGGAGCTTTTATGGCTTTTTGGTCATTGGTCAAAGAAAAAAAGATGCAAAAGCATAAGTAAAAGCCCAAACAAACAGGGCCTTATTGGTTTATGTGATCTTAGCTTATTCTGAGTTCTCTGATGAAAATTCAGTGATCTTGGACTGCAGTATGCTTATTCTGAGTTCATGGTGCACAGGACTTCCAAGTCCATTTAAGAAGAGGATATGTGTCTGATGGTGAAAACCCTCGATATGGGAGATCTAGCAGACCCCTTTTGTGATTCGGCCAAGGGCTAAACCACTCCAAGAAACTACGGGCTAACTAGGAACAAGGACACAATCATATACCTATGTTCAGCGCACCCGGAGGGAGGTGTTATACTTGATGGATGATAACATCGTTTGTTACAAACTCGAGATGAGCTCTCTAGGTTAATTTGGGCAGTGCTCGGAAGGGCTCTAGGGCTATAGCTAGCTGCCGTGAGCACCCTTCTTCTTCTTCCTCTCCTCTCTATCTAGCTCTCAAGTGTGGGTGGTTGAAAGAGCGTCGGATCCCTCCTATTAGCCTTGGTCCCCCCCCCCCTTATACAGGTGATACGCCGTATCTACTTTTTCAAACATTTTTTGCTTTTATTTTGGACTCTAATTTGCATGAAACTAATCCGAACTAACATTGTTTTCAACAGAACTACCATGATATTATTTTTGTACAAGAATAAAAGTTCTCGGATTGGGCTGAAAATTTACGAAGATTATTTTCAGAATATATAAAAATTATTGGCAAAGAGAACTATTGGAGGGGGCACCAGAGAGCCACGAGCTCAGGGGGCGCGCCCTGTGAGCTTGTGGGTCCCACAGGCCACCGTTAACCCTAACTCCAACTCCATAAGTATCGTCTCGAGGAGAAAAAATCAGACGGAAGGAACCATCACGTTTTACGATACGGAGTCGCCGCCACCTTCTGTTCTTCATCAGGAGGGCTGATCTGGAGTCCATTCGGGACTTCGGAGGGTAAAATTCGTCATCATCAACCCTTCTCCATCAACAATTCCATGATGCACACCATTGGGAGTGAGTATTTCCTTCGTAGGTTTGCTGGACGGTGGTGGAATTGGATGAGATTTGTCACGTAATCGAGTCAATTTGTTAGGGCTTGATCCCTAGTATCCACTGTGTTCTGAGACTGATGTTGCTATGACTTTGCTATGCTTAATGCTTGTCACTAGGGTCCGACTGCCATGATTTCAGATCTGAACCCTTTATGTTTTCATGAATATATTTGAGTTCTTGATCCTATCTGCTAGTTATATGCACTTGTTATTGTTCTGATCCGTAGACCCCAAAGTGACAATAGTTGAGATACTCTCCGACGATGATTGTAATTCGAGGAGTTCATGTATCCACTTGTGTTAATGCTTTGTTCCGATTCTCTATTAAAAGAAGGCCTTAATATCCCTTAGTTTCCATATGGACCATGTTGCCACAAGGGGGGGGGGGTAGGAATGCAAGTTCTTATTGTAAGCACGTATGACTATATATGGAATACAAGCCTATATCGAATTGATGAATTGGAGCTATTGTGTATCACTCTAGGTTGTGACTGTTATATGATGAATATCATCCAACGCAAATATCCATCGTTGATCCAATGCCTACGCTTTTCTCATATTGATATTTGCCAAGTTACTATTGTTGTTGTTGTTGTTGTTACAATCATCACAAACTGCTCATGTTACTATTCCTGTTACTATTGTTGTTGTTGTTGTTGTTGTTGTTGTTGTTGTTGTTGTTGTTGTTGTTGTTGTTGTTGTTGTTGTTGTTGTTGTTGTTGTTGTTGTTGTTGTTGTTGTTGTTGTTGTTGTTGTTGTTGTTGTTGTTGTTGTTGTTGTTGTTGTTGTTGTTGTTGTTGTTGTTGTTGTTGTTGTTGTTGTTGTTGTTGTTGTTGTTGTTGTTGTTGTTGTTGTTGTTGTTGTTGTTGTTGTTGTCGTTGTTGTTGTTGTTGTTGTTGTTGTTGTTGTTGTTGTTGTTGTTGTTGTTGTTGTTGTTGTTGTTGTTGTTGTTGTTGTTGTTGTTGTTGTTGTTGTTGTTGTTGTTGTTGTTGTTGTTGTTGTTGTTGTTGTTGTTGTTGTTGTTGTTGTTGTTGTTGTTGTTGTTGTTGTTGTTGTTGTTGTTGTTGTTGTTGTTGTTGTTGTTGTTGTTGTTGTTGTTGTTGTTGGTGGTGGTGGTGGTGGTGGTGGTG